GTTGCCAATCCCGTTTAAACCATAAGCAAATTTATTAATGGATTTTATCGGCCCGTTGCCGCTATATAAACGCCGGGGTATTATTTATACCAATATTTTAATGGTAATAAACAAATTAATAAAAATAAAGCATTACATTCTAATAAATACCATTAACGCGGGCAGCTTAGCAAACGCTTATTTATTAATAATGTATTGCTAATACGGTACCCCCAAAACCATCGTATCCAATAAAAGGCTTTAATTTGTATTTAACTTTTAGCGAAAATTACAATAACGTTTAAACGTTATTTTAAAAAAATCGTTAGCGTTTTACCCAAAATTTAACGGGCAAACGGAAGTTTTAAACGCGTACATAAAACAATATTTCCGTAACTTTTACTTTTATTATTAAAACGATTGGGTTAATTGGCTTTTATTGGAAAAATTTGCTAGCAATAATTAAATATCGAAAATAACGGGAATTTTACCGTTTTTCGCTAACTACGGGTAAAACCTTTTTATGGAATTCGAATTAATTCCCCCTTTAAATACCAACGATACGCTAATAAAGCAACAAAAAATTTACAATGCGTTTACGATAACCGATAAAATCCAAACAATTTTTAATTATATTAAAATAATAACAACCGCAGTTTAAAAACGGTACGAAAAAACGGCCAACCGTTATTAAACCAACCCAAATACGTTCGTTACAAAAAATTAAATTTAAGTAAATATAAAAAACATAACATTTTCGAAACTAACCTTTAAATTAAACGATAAATGGATTAGCCCGTTTTTTATTACCAAAGTTTACAAACAAGCCCTAACCGTTAAATTTCCGCCCTAATACCGTTTATTCCCCGTTTTCCATACTTTATTAATTTAACGGGACCATCCGGAATTGCTGGAATAAAACGTTATTAATAAAAAATATAACCAATAAATTACCGGCGTTTTTTTAACGAAAAGGGAAAATACCAATAACAATAGCAAAAAATGGTTTTTTAATAAAATTTTTAATTTTAGGAAAACGCAAAAAGGCTTTTAATATAAAATTAAATGGCCCGTACCTTACGCCCCGATTTAAAAACCTTACCGCAACCTCGAAAAGGCAAATAACCGCATCCGGGATTTTTACCGTTCGCACCTAAACAAACCCAAACCACCAAATTAATAATACGAATTAAAAACGGTACAATTTATACAAAAAATAACGGGCCCAGCGTTCCGTTAACGTTAAAAGCAATAAATACCGAAACGCAAAAACCGCCCGAAAAAAGTTTAATTGTTATTAATACAATTTTTTATCGGGATTTTGGTTTAAAAACAACGTACCGCACGCCGGCAATACGCAAGCGGTAAGCCAAAATTAACGCGGAAAAACGGCGTTATAGCGCCAAACCATTGCCGCGCGCCAAAACGCGCCAAAGCGCGCAAAAAACAAATATGCGCCCGGAAATACCCAAACGTTGCGCTAGCCAAACTTTAAAACCAAACCAAAAAAAAAACGACCAAACGCCGCGCTTAAGCATTATTATTTTTAAACCCCAAAAATTTATTTTTTAAAAATAACAACGAATTGTTAACGGTTTGTTTACCGTTACCCGCCCCCATTACAATAACTTTTTTTACTTCGCCTTTCGAAAACGATAACGATAACGAATCGTTAACGGTTTACCCGCCGCTACCCGCCCCCAAAAATAATAACGAAAAAAAAAGTTATTTTTTTCCCGGTATACTTACCAATCCTTTTCGGGGAAAAAAAGGATGGCCGGAAATTTATGCTAAATAAAAAACATTATTTTAAAAAATTAATTAAAATAACCTTTCGCTACAAGCAAAAAATTCCGGCGCGCCGTTAAATATGCGGTATTATTTTAATCGTTCCCGTCCTTAGCAATAACCGCAAGCCATATGGCATATACGATTTTGTAATATTCCTGGATATAAACCTTTTTAACGGCATGCTAAATTGTATATCCCGGATCGTTAAAAAAAAGCCGCACTTTCGCCCGATCCTTTTAGGCCGGAAAACGAAAAAAATAATGGCAAAATTAAGTGCTAGCCAACAAAATGGCGATAACGCGCCGCTAATACGCCAAAATAACGAAAAGGGCGGGCTAAAATTAATGTTAAAACTTTGTAAAAAAAAAACAAAAGCAAAACGCAAAAACGTTAGCGAAACGTTTATTTAACGCCGGTTTTAAAAGCTATTTATATAATAAAAGCGCCGTTTAACGGCGTCGGCGGTTTCGAAACCACGCATAAAATAAATGCACATGCGCGTAATACGCGCGCAAATATTTGCCGATAAAATGTATACGTTTTCGGCAACGCCAGTAAAATCCAAAAGGACCGGCGTTCCGTTATCGATACAAAAAAAGCTTTTATAAACGGCGGCCAAGCGTTTAAAATTGCAAAGGTTTTTTTTTATATAAAAAAACGGTTACGAATCGGAACGTTAGCAATGCGCCGGCAAATTTTAATTAACAAAACGTACTTTATTACAATTATTTTTCCGATTTTAATATTAATAGCATCGAACGTTTGGATAAAATTGCAACCCGTTACCGTTGCGCTAAAGCTTTGGACCCGGGCTTACGCAATAAAAATTTTGGATAAAATGTACCAAACCCGAAATGTTATTTTTGTATTAATTAATTAGCGTACGAAACGTTAAAAAGCAAGTAATGGCGCGAAACGGATAGCGCGTTACCGTACCGGCGCGGATTTCGCAAACGTTTATATTATTAATTGGTATAACAAAAAAAAGCGAAAAAGGAACAAAATAACGATAAAAATACGAAATAACGATAGCGTTAAACCGGCGGATTAAAAAATTGTAATGGTAAAAATGGTAATAATAATTAAAAAAAAATTAAATAAACGTAACGCAAAACGGGGAAAAAATTAAAAAAACGGCGAAAAAACGTTAACGTAACGCGGGGATTTCGCTTTGGGAAAGCAATAAGCAAAATATTGCAAACCCGTGCGCAAAAAAAATAAAAAAAATAAAAAAACGCCCCAAACAAACGAAGCTATGCACGCAACGCTATACCGGCGCAAAGCATTACGTTAGCGCAATTGGAATAATTGCGATTTTGTAGTAAGGTATTGTTACGGTACGCGTCGGGGCACCTGGGGAAAAACCTAAGGCCGTACTTTTAGCGCGCCAACGTTACGCTTACAAAACCGCGACAAAACGCCAGGGACGCTCTGCCCAAATAGCTTCCTTTTCGTGCAACAACAAAGCCTTTTTTATAACAATAAGGTGTAAGCCGTGGCAGGATAAGCTAGCAAGCTTAAGTAAAAAAAAACAATTGCTGTAAAGGACGTTCTTAAAAACCCGTTTTTTGCAATAATTAATAGTTGCACCAAAAGTTAAACCCAAAATTTCCCGCTACAAAAGCAAGCGCGTTATTAATGCGTTATATAACCAAAAAAATTGTTAAAAAATTACAATTTACCAAATTAAAAAATGGCAAACAGGTTAAGGTTGATACCAAACCTTTACCAAGCCAAGAATTAGCAAAAAGGATTAACGGGCTAAAGCAAAAAAAAAAAAAGTCCAATTTAAAATTTCCCCCGCGAGGAAGATTTTAAATTAAACAAAGGTTATACCGGGATTTAAACTTAAGATTTCCAATTACAAAAGCAAATGCGTTATTATTGCGCTATACAATTTGTAAAAATTGTTAAAAAAGTTACAATTTACCTAATCGAAAAAAAGCAAGCAAATTAAAATTAAAATTAATTTCGAACGCTGCCCAATCCGGAAATAAAAAAAGGAAATTAAATTAAAAAAAACAAGAAAACTGGCAATTGCTTGCGCGGCTTTTTTACGCTTTACCCGTTCCAATTCTTTTACGTTATTAATATTACGGCAAACCGCGCGTATTATTTTTTTAAATTAAAGGTTTTTTTAACCCCAAAAACGTTAAATGCGGTTATTTTTAGCCCGCATTAACTTTTCCGTTTAATAACGAAAGCGTTTAGCAACGGTTAATTTAACATTTAATTTAAAATGTTATTTAACTAAACGTTAAAATTAAAAAATCGATATTTTTAAAACGTTGCATTAAATGCGTTTTAAACGAACGCATTTAGCGCAACGCAATAAATTTAAAAAGGAAATTTAACAAAAACGAAAACTAACGGCTTTGTAAAAAAAATAAAAAAGCATTTCCAAAAAAAAGGTTAAAATAATTAATAAAAAATTTGCTTAACGAACCGAAAATTAAAAAGTTAAAACTTTGCGCTTTTGGATTTGCCTGGATATTTTATTAAAAAAAAGGAATGGTTAAATAATAAAATAAAAAAATATTTACGATTAACAAAAAGGCGGGAAGGATAATAATACGTAACTAACGGGCTTTAGCTAAAAAAGGGGAAACTTAATGTTACAACCAATAGTTTATAAAAAAGGGGGTAGCAAACCCCGCTTTCCAGGCAAAAAAGAAATAAATTAAAAAAGTTACGTAACATTGGGGTTAAAAATTAATTAATAATAATTAGTTAGGGTTAAATTAATTACGGGCAATAAAAGGATGTTTAGTAGCAATCGATGTTATTAGCTTTAATTAATGGGATTAAAGTCTTTTATAACATCCAAAGCCAAAAGGCCCAGGTATAAAAAGGAAGGGTTTTTTACTATCTTAAGTAATTTTTTATAAATGCATTAGCATTAGTTAATTTTTAGTTAGCTTTCAAGCAATTTTTGGAGCAAGCATTTATGTTGCACCCAAAATACCTTGTAAATCCCCTTAATTTGTCAAGTTACGTGCTACTGCTCGGTACTCCTTTGGTGCCTTACCTTAGGAGCAGAGGCCTAACTGTAACATGGGAATGGAACCTGGAAAACGGGCCTGCCCTTGCAACGATTTGTACGGCGGCGCGGGCGACATTAATCAACATACGATGGCCCGCCTCACCCGAAACCAGGTCCCTGTGGTGCCTTTCCAAAGCCAAACACCAATGGCTCAAGAACGTTAATGCACTCGAGGCAACAACTAAGATGCAGATTGGTGTTTTGTGAACAGCTGACATTGTAAATATTTACCGACGTTATTAGGACCTCGGGGGAAAATGGCCAGGCTCGCCCTTCCATCCTCGCAATACAATGCCTCGCAGCGCTCGGGGTATCCTGTTCCTTTTGCCCGTCTATTTTCTCCCCCGCCTTTTGACGATGACCTTCAGGCCTTCTTTCCCGGCAAAGACGCACTTTTCGCCGCCGTCGCCGTTGCCGCAGAAGCCAGGGAAGAGACAGCAGCGCTGCTCGGGCGTGGCGGGGCTGTTGGCCGGCTCGATGAATTCGACCAGGCCCTGGGCGTTCTTCTTGCCGTTCCTGACGCAGGTGGGGCCGTTGGGGAAGAGGCAGCTGTTTTTGTGGTAAGCGAGTGGGTCTTTGGTCAATGTGTGTGTGTGGATGGGCTGGTAAAAGTTGAGTTGCGTGCGTGCGACATACTTTCCTTTGCCGCCGAAGGCGGGGGCGGGCTTGTTTTGTGCGCTGACGGTGACCGCGAAGGCGAGGGCGGTGATGGCGGCGAAGAACTTCATGGTGGCGGTGTTTGTGTTTTTTTTATATCCTTTAATGCAAAAAGAGGTATCTGCACAGCAGATGAGAGAGAATGGAGTAGGCAAAGAAATAGTTTGAAGGAAAAGGGAGCGAAGCAAACCAGGCTGTTGGGTAGAAAAGGAAGGCCCCATCAGTTCGAGGGAGGCATCACTAGCGCCTTTATACAAGCTGTACAGAACGCACAACGCACTCCATTACCCCTTATTGCTGCAGAGTCTCAGTGTCGGGGGGTTACATTCTGGAAATCGGTCAAAAAGCTGGGGTAGGTCGCATTCTCGTGATCCCTTGGTATTTCGAACCCCCAAACGCTCCCCAATAGGGGCCGCGGTAAAACGAGTCATGGCCGCCGCCTCGATCTTCAATGATCTGAAACAGCAAACGTCTTCAACTTCAAATTCGGCTCGGCGCCCTCCACAATGTGTTTCTCAGCGTTTCTTGTTGCTTTGCGCTCTATTTTACCCCTTTGTGGCAGCTGGATGTCGCATCAACGTCGGCCACACCGACGATGGTCCCCGCGAGATTTACGAAAATTGTTTATTTTTAAACATAAATCCCCTTAAGTCCCCGTTTCCCCTGTTTCACTCGACCGAAAACTGGCGATGGTCATGCCGTTCCAGCCGACCTCTTCGCACCACAAACAGACGACAGGCACAAGGATAAAGAAGATGTACCTATCCAACGACAACCATCCTGCCAGTTTTACGGCAGGGATCGTTTGCTTGCCACCGCCGCCGCCGCCTCTTGACTCGGCCACCGCGCCGTCGATGAGCCAACCCTCGGGCGTCGCCCTCTTAACCCCGAACCGCTGCCTCAGCACAACCCACCCTCGCCACGATCAACAACGTCCTAAACGCGCGCGCGTCCGCCTCCTTTCCATCCTCCCCATCCCCGCTGCCAAACCTAACCTCGAGCGCGGCCCTTACGGCCCCGGTCCACGAACCCTAGCCCTCGACAGCTTCCTCCGTGAGGATCCCTGTTAGTATAAGTGCACAGCGCCTCCCTTGGGCTACGAAATGGGCGCTAAGCACGGGTGCTTGCGGCGTTTGTAAAGCTCGCGCGTTCCGGGCGCCGGCACGGGCGACGCAGCTCGACAAGTCGTCGGGCTCCACGACTACCACACCCGAGGACCCGAATCCCAACCCCGTGCGCGACGGCCCGGCACCCCCAGGTGCATAATGTAAGGGAACAGGAAAAAGGAACAGGAAAAAGGAACAGGAAAAAGGAACAGGAAAAAGGAACAGGAAAAAGGAACAGGAAAAAGGAACAGGGAAAAGGAACAGGAAAAAGGAACAGGAAAAGACCTCGGGGGAAGGGGCCGAAAATTGGGACCGTATCAATCATTTTCTGGCCGATGTGCCTAGCACCACCTGCTGGGGAAGTTGGACTGTCATGCACGAAAGCAGGTGGCTTGCTCGAGGCGAGCAGTCGCAGATTTGCTTCCTTTCGACATCACACCATCTTCCAGCACGTGATTACGCCCGGCGAAGCAGGCGGCGGCTGGAGGGTGCTGGGCAGTATGATTGCCCAGCATAGGCCCAACGACATCCTCGTCCTGCGGACCGTTTTTAACATATTATATTCAGTGTGTTCACACCGCGTAATGTCGGGCCAATGGCCGAACTATCGTGCCATCATCTCCACCTGCGTCTCAACGGGGCAAGCGTTGTTAACGCCCGATTGAGCCCCAGAAAGAAAAGACCGAGGCGCATTCGAGTTTGCCGTCTTCGAGTTTCAAGGTGTTCTTTCTTGAAAGACGACAGGCCTTTGGGTACAGGTTTAACGCGAACCAGAGGCAGCGGAAGGATCGTCGCTGCTTCCCTCATTCTTCCCTCCTTCGTACTCGGCGCTCTGCAGGTGTCCTCGCGAAGCCTTATCGCCGCACCATAGGGGTAAATCTCGGGCCCGTCGTAGCGCCTCCGAGTCCATAAGATCGTCCACGTGTACACCCGAGGCCCTTGGCCCTTCAATACTTTCTCCTTGTACCTCTTGTAATCCTCATCTTGATAGCGGCCGCTGCAGCCGACCCGGGGGTCGGGCCCATAACCCGGGAGAGGAGGGTCGAGCGCCGTGGCGCGTGTGGGGCTTGGAGGGGAGGTAGGGAAAAGGAGGGGGGAAGCGCGTCGTTGAGGTGTGTGGTAGGGGGGGAGGGAAGGGGGCACCTGTGCCGGTGCCTACGCCGAGGGATCCTTGGCCCTGTGCGGGTTCTGTCGCGTGTTGCGAGTTTCGCAACGGGGACGGCGTGCGTGTGTTCGGATGCGCTAGAATGCGCGGGGATCGGGGCAGCGGCGGCGCGCTCCTCCGGGCCGAAGGGCCTATAAAGAAGGCGCGCGCCACCCCGAGGGGGGTCGTTGGTAGCGGCGTGTTGCCGTTGCCAACGCCAGTGGCGGGCGCGGTGTTGGTGTTGAGTCGCTCAATTGGCGGGTGTTAAGGATTTGTGTGCAAATTGGCAGTGTGCACTAACAGCACCATGCCAAGAACGAGGAAGGATGTTGAATTGAGGGGGCGGGGTACGGATTTGCGTTATTTTTGCACACTACTGTAACCACAACTTGCTTGGGGCCCTGCACAGCACTAACTTTAGTGCTTTGCAGGGCCCGACCCAACTGAACGTGCGCCAGCCGTCCCTGTAATTAGCGCATGCATTCCTTTGTGCCCGCTATATGTTAACAAGTTGCATTAATGATCGGATAATGGAAATCGGTTAAGGGGTGCGCTAACTTATAGAAAAATAAAAATAAAAGCGGTTTAATTTAAAACAAGCTTTAAATTTACTTGTTATAAAGGAAACAATGCATACTAGTAAGGAAGGTTTTAAGCGTAAATATTAACTGCTTAAGCATTAAGAAAGCGGTTCTTTTGCTTGGAAGCGTATAACGCTGTTATGGATCCGTGCTGGGCACGGATTACGTAACCCAAAGGGTATCCCTTTAAATTAAAACTTATGTATATAAAAACTACCTCAAATCCTTTAAAAACAAGAACTTAACTTTTTCCCTTTTTCCTTATTTTGTAAAATAATACCATTTCAGTACCTGCTGGGCACTACCTGGTAATTTAATTTATTACATTTTTACGATTTTTTTTTTGCGAAATGGCGGATTATAACGAATAACTTACGGAACGAGCAATTTTCCCAGCACCAATAAAATCCTTCGCGCTTAACTAAGCAATTTATTAAAAATAACGCAAATTATTGGTTATAATAAATTTGCAATAGCAATTAAAAATATTATGACGTAAGTGCAATAATTCGAATTAAATAAAGCAAAATTTTAAAACTTTATTATAATGGGAGCATTGCTTTTTTTAATAATTCTTTTACAATTTTATACAACTTTTTTAATATTAAATAACTTACCGAAATCCCCGCGTTTCCCCGGTATTAATTTAATTAACGCAATTAATTTATCGAAACGCAAACCGTTAAAAAAGCTTTTACTTTATAAAAGTAACAAAAGCATTTTTATAATTTAAAAGCAATTAATTAATTACAAGCTTAATAAAAATGCGGAATTTATTGGTAATAATAAGGTTTAATTCCAATATATTTAAGAGTGCTTTACCCAAACGTACAAGCAATTGCGCGAACGTATTACGAATGCGAAAAGGAATTGGGAGCTTTTTACAACCTAACCAAATTTTTTTAATATTTAATACAAACATTTAACGATTCGTTAAAGCAATAATAAGCATTAACACGTTTAAAAACATTTAAAATAAAGCAAAACCAATTATTTAACATTTTTTATTATTATTTTAAAAAGGATTTGGTTTTGGCGGGAAAGTTAAACGCCCAAGCGTAATTCTTTTTGCGGTTGGTAAAGCTGTTTTTAGCGCCAAAAGCGCGGCTTACAAAGGCAAGCTTTTCCGCGGCGTCGAGCATACGTTGGTTCGATTCGGACGCCCCCTGTTAAAATTAACAAGTTATGTAAGGTGCTACCCTGCACTTACCCTGCACTTACCCTGCATTTACCTTGCACTTCCCCATGTTAATTGGCACAAGTTAAATTTAAAGGCCGAACGCGGAAATCGTTTTGGTAGCCGTAGGTTAATTTTTTGCAATTCCCATGCAAAATAATATTGCGGAAAATCGCGCGCGGCACCGCAACCCTTTAAAGGGGAAAACCCTCAAAATTAACGTTGGTGGGTATATAAAAAAAAGCATTAAATTGGCACCTTTTTTTTGGAATAGCACTTATTTTTAATAACCAACGTGGGCTTGTTAGCATTATATTATAATGCTTAACAAGCTTAACCTTTGTAAACGTAACCTTATAAATTGCTGTGATCGTGCTGCAAAGCCTTAATTTAAACCTTGTAATTTAACACCTTTTTACTGGAAACAAAGGTACACTAGCCATTTTTGCTAGCCTTTTTTTTCGTGCAGCAATACACGCACTTTTTAAATTTGGAATTTAAGCTAAAGCATTTTATTAACGGCGTATCCAAAATAAAGCAATTACAAAAACGGCAAAAAAATTTATTAAAATTTTGCATGCAAACCCGGTTTAGGTTAATTTTACGAATTATTATTTTAAAGCAAGTCGTACAATTTGCCGCGCCGCAACAAACATTAAAAAAGGTTAGCGCGAAACCGCGGAAAATACGGAAAAATATATTTATAAGCAACGGGTTTTGCAACGGTGCAAATCGCTTGTTACCGCCAAAAAAGGCGAAACGGGCTTTTTAAATCCGGATTTTTTTAAAAGTTATAACGGGCGCGTAAAAAGCGCGTAAGCACCGAATAAGGTACCGGGGAAAAATTGGAAATACGTTAAAAAAGGGAAATTATTTAAAAAATGGTTAAAAAGGCTGCGAATTTGCGGAAACGGAAAAGGGAAGATTTACGGTTATTGCTGCTTTTGTTATTGTTGCTGCTGTTAATAGTAGTTATTAACCGGATTAAAAAAAGCCGGAAGGAAAAAAGGTAACGGAAATTACAAAATGGAACGAAAAGTAAGGTACAAATAAAAAAAGAAAAAATAACAAGCAAGCTTAAAAATTGTACGAAAACGTGCATTCGATAACCCGACCTATACGCAACGGCCAAATTACCTTTACAACCGAACCACGATATTTCGCTTTAAATATTAACTTTTTTTTATTAACCGTTAAAAGGTACGGGAGCAAACCATATTACCAATATATTACTTACGAAAAAAACGCGGAATTGTAAAAACCTTAAAAGGAAGGAGTTTTTACCCAGCCTTATACCAAACAGCTATCGGCTGGAAGCACGGTTTTTACCTTTATGTAATTAACCCGAACCGTAAAGCTCCCCATGGGTTATTGTTAAATTACAAGGTCCAAATTAAAGCTTTGCAGCACAATTACAGCGATTTATAAAGTTACGTTTACAAGGGTCGGGCTTACAAAGCACTATAATATAATGTTAACAAGCCTACGTTAATTGTTAAAAATAAGTGCTATTCCAGGGAAAGGGTACCAATTTAATGCTTTTTTTTATATACCCACCAACGTCGATCCCGCGGGTTTTTACCTTTAAGGGGTTGCGGTGCCGCGCGCGATTTTCCGTAATATTATTTTGTATAGGGATTTTTAAAAATCGTTCCACGGTTACCAAAGCAATTTCCGCGTTCGGCTTTTAAATTTAACATGTGCTAATTAACGTGGGGAAGTGTAAAGTAAGTGCAGGGTAGCACCTTACATAACTTGTTAATTTCAACATACCAAGCCGTCAGCGCCTTGTTCATCGTCCGGGGCGTCGCCAGCATTATAACTAGCCATGTGCAGGCCTTCCCCCATTAACCGGGACAGTGTCCTGGACGGCTACTACGGTGACTACCCGCTTTATTACACGATCCTGGGCGGAACGAGAGGAGCGGGAAGAGGGGCAGGGTCCGGCGCTTGACCGGACCAAGCGACAGTATTCATGGTTCGGCAAGGAGGACAAAATGGCCCTCCAGATATTTGACCGAAATGGTGTAAGATCATTTCCCGGTTAGCAACACAACACATACAACACCACCACCCACTGCCACCGGCCCCGCGCCATCACAAAGTACCTATTTGGCGTAGCGACCGCCCCTGCTAGTGCTAAAGCACCCTCAGCACCAGCGGTTACAGAAGCGGTCAACCCATACAATTACTACAAAAGCGGTCTACAATGTTGAACCTTTTATTAATCCGTTAGCCCGTTGAGTGTGGACATCCATGCACAAACCGGACCATATTTAGATAGATGCCTTGTTTCTGCTCTCTCAGCCGCAGCGACACGTCTCCAATCACCGCTACCACCCGACATGCCACCCCACCAATACAACATCCGGGCGGTGGAGGTGGACATAAAGTGGTTCCCCGGGGTCTAGTCCGGCGGCCTCGGCCCGCATCCGCTAAAAAGGCTCTGAGGCTGACGCTAACGGCCTGGTCCACCACTATCTCGCCACGCTGGGTCGACGTCAGCTTTCATATCCCGATTTACGCGGCCCCACCCCCCCCCCCCCCCCCCCCAACCGGGCCTGGGCCGTTTCCTCCTTCCCGATGCACGTATTTTGCCGAAACGTCGCTCACCCCACCGGGGATAGCGCCCGGCTCATGAGGAAAACAAGGTAATTACCCTTGTCAACCATGGCCGGAATCGTGGTCGCAGTGATAAGCTCTTTGAAGGCCGGCTTGGCGGCTCTGCGCAACCAGCCGGGGAAACCAATCCACTGGTTCGGAGCAAACTCCCGGGCACCCCCACAATGCCAGCCTCTTAGGTCATCTGGATAATTAGTCCAACTTATATATGAGCTTCCTCGCTACCTGAGTTTGACAAACGCCGGGCGGCTCCTCCACGTCCTGTCATGCGATATAAGGCGGTATGCCATAGGCTGATGAGCTGATTGTCAATATGCCAGCTGCTTCTTTCTTTGGATTGACCTTTTGCAGTGCATATACCCGACTTGCCCCCCCACCCCGGAGCAAAAGGACAATATGGCGGGCTCTATTTATGGAAAAGGAAGTCCGGAATGGTCGAGATATGATTGGTGGAAAGTCGCGGCGTGTCGAGTGGTTGTATTTTTATCCCGTTGGATCTTTGGGAAGGGGGTCGCCAGCACCGCGGATCGACGTGCTTTGAGCGACATGGCGGACACTGGTACAGTGATGGAGAATGGAGCCTCTATATTAAGGCCGCATCGAACCCTCTCCTGTTCAGTGCAGCCAGGCTTATCCTTCCTTGTCCTCGCGGCATCTCAAATCTCTCAACCATCGCCTTTGCCGGGGTCTTCTTTTTTTTGCCATATTAGCAATCTGCCTTGACCCGTCGCCACAATGCTGAAGCAGACCGTCCTCTCCTTGGCCCTGGCCGTTTCTTTGGCTGAGGCCTGGAGCGGAGTGACCAAAACAAGCTGGGATTGGTACGTGATATTCTGCGACAACACTTTCCCCGGTGGTTCCTAGAGACACACAGAGAGTGATTCAAACTGATGTTGATCCAACAGCTGCAAACCAGGATGTGCCTGGCCCGAAAGTCTCGCGACGGCTAAAGCGAGGTAGGACACACTCCCCGGCATATCAAGGAAGTTGGCATGTTGTGAGGTTTTTTTCCCCAGCTGTTTAGAAAGAACCCGATTTTTTAACGCTACGTTTTGCTAGGGGTGATGTACGGGTCTGCGACAAGTACGACCGTCTGTTGACTTTTTCCCGGGGCCGCACCGAACAATCGTCTTGCTTCCAGCCCGGCGGCGGCGGCGGCTACCTGTGCTCGTCGTACCAACCCATCCCCATCACCAACGATTATTCCATCGGCTTCGCCGCCCTGGGCGAAATCTGGGCCTGCTGCCGATGCTTCCAAGTCAAATGGCTTGAAGGCCCGGCTCGTGGCAAGCGGATGGTGGTCCAGGCCGTGAGCAACAACCCCGGTACCGGTACCGCCATCACCATCCTTACGCCCGGCGGCGGCCACGGGAACAACCCGCAGGGATGCACCGCCCAGTTCGGGAAAACCACGTAAGTAAATACTGAACTGCCCTGCCACCTGGCGGAAATGCTAATGCTAAATTTTTTTTACGTTCAGTGGCCGCGCGAATGGTGGCGTCAGCTCGGCATCCGAATGCGAGCTCCTCCCGGACCACCTCAAGGGCGGCTGCTACTGGCGCTTCAACTGGGCTCGCGATCACCTCAACGACCGAGCTGTGGAGATCGACCAGGTCGACTGCCCTGCCGCTCTCAAGGATATCTCGGGCTGCGATGGTGAATTTTGAAACCTGACACAGAGTAAGAAAGCATGTCAGGGTGAAGGGGGAGATACAGAAAGGGCCAATAAGTTCGACGCTGCGGCTTGCCAGCTTGGGAGGACTCACTCATTGATGATATTTTCTCTCTTGTGATCTGATGATGGCTTGGGGGAACTTTTGCTGGGGAGGTTGTCGGGTTGGGCTCTGGGGTTGTTGCTCTGTGGGTTAGGCTGTTCGTAACTCGCTCCCATCACAGCAGACTGAAACAAAAACAACCCCTCTCCAAAAGCAATCGCTCAAACGACACCTTCAATCAAATCGGCACGTCAGAAAACCCTGGGAACGTCCCGGTTGACTGCTGCACGTCTGAATGGGTACCTCCATATGTCTTAGCTTAGCTCTAGCCACGTGACTTTCATCCTGTACGCGACATTGTCAGCTGTTAACAGCTGCCTCACCCACTCTAGCTCTCGGCGTGGGTCTGGCTGCCGTCCTCCTCAACATTGGGCGCCTATTGCGCGATTGGGCATCGCTGCTTGATGATAAGGGATTTTCCTAACACTGCGACCGACCCCTCGTCGCCCTCGAGCTTTCTCTCCATCCTGCCCGCTCTATACCTGCGTCGCCATATCACCCTCTCCACTACACCTCGGACATTGAAATCCCCTCTTGGATTTTCCTGACCTATGTACAAGAATATGTCCAGTGGCCTTATAGCTAGCATTGGAGGCTGTTGCTGCGGTATTTTCGCGTCGAAGGACGCGGAACCCGACATCCAGTCGCATTCTACGACCCCACCACAGAATAAGCAGACTTCACGTCTCACAGTCGAACAATCCGAGCGACATGACTCACCACATGGGGGTCGGTCCCCGGACGATGAGGTGGCGGTCGCTCAGCAAGACCGCAACCAAACCCCCGAGATGACGAACCCGCCCGGACCCAGCACAGCAACAGCGCCGAAGACGACGGAACAGCCAACTCCCGCAGCCATAGGCACGAACAGGTTGTGGGACGAGGCGTATAATAAACTCGGAGGTGTGGAGCCCGGTCTTGTCGGTAAATACGAGACCGTGATTAAGGAGAAGCTGGGGGTCGGCGTGTCCGAGAAGCAAGGCGAGCGACGCCTCACAATGGACCAAGTCGCCGGCAAGATCGCACAAGACATCGAAAAAAACGACAAGTCGATGATTGGAGTCGGAGACCACAAAGTAGCCGTGAGGGATATCGTTGAGCAGGTAGTCCACGTTGTAGAATTGGGCAAAAGCTACGTGGGCGACGCTCTAGCAGCATCGCCACCGGCATTAATCGCCTGGGTAGGAGTCTGCCTGCTGCTTCCGGTAATGACCACCATTTCAAGTAACTTCGTACCTGATCATTTCCAGTCACACTAATATGCTGTTTGTAGCTCGTCCTCAATTACTCGGAGCAGGACCTCCTCCGTGCCGAGGGGCTGAAAACCATCGCCTCCATTGTTCTCGACTGCTCTGTACGCGAGGCCATCTTGACCCAGTCCACAGGTCAAGCTAATTCAACGGCTAGCGGTGCATGCTGGGACGCTCTACTGGAACGATAGTGGCCCTTACAGCAGATAGAAGGTTCAGAGTCGTTGTCGACGAGTAGGTCGCGAATCAAGGATTCGTTCGGCTGACCCCGGACAAAGGTCATCAACTGGTCGTTTCGCAGGCCGAGGTTTGGCACGCCAAAGAAAAGCATTCCGAAACAGGCTTTGGACAGGTTGAAGTACGCGTCGTTACTTCGGTTGCGAGTGCGGACAAGCGCCTACGGCAATCAGCTAGCTGCTTTGCCATGGGCGGCGCGGCATTTTACCTTTTTAATTAGCAAGCCGCCAAAGCTATGGCCGATAAATATAATTGGACGGCGAAAGGTTTACCGGGGTTAATTTAAGCCAAACAATATAGCATTAAAAATTACGTACCTTATTTTTCGCTTGAAAAGCAATAATTTATTTTAAATAAGTAGCGCTTATATTTTCAATGGATTATTTTTACCGGTTATTTGCTAATGTAATATTATAACCGTAAAGCAGCATTTAAATGTTTGGTACATTTTTGGAAAGGAAATTGCATAGCCAAACATTATTACCGTTTAAAGATTTTTAAAAATTAAATGCATAGTTTTCGAAGCCAGGTATTGCTATAACGCTACAAAGTGCAAATTAATAAAGGTAAAAGCAACGGGCGGAAAATAGCATATATTTAATATTGGCGCCGCTTTTGCTTTCGTACAAAAGCGTAATTCCGTCGAATTTGCAGGCATAGCTATATCGAAAATCCCTTTTAGCCCAACGTAGCTATGCGGATAGTTCGTTTTTAAAAAGCAATGTAGTGATTAAAACGGTAACGAAGCCGAATTGCTTGTCCTGTGGTGCTAAAAAGCGATAAACGATAATTGCGGCGGCTCCTTGCAAAGTTGGGTCCTGCCCAGCGATAAACCTTAGGGTAAGGTCCAACTCATCGGCGTGGTCGATTGGGATGTTATTAACGCGGAAAGCCAAGCTTTTGGGCTTTGGCGCCGTAAAGATAGCGGCTTGATTTAAGTTAGGGTCCCATCCGGCGATAGCCCTCGAGTTGCGGTTTAGGATATGGGCGTGGTCGATTGGAATGTTGTCAACGCGAAACGTTAGTTCTTCGGCTTTCGGCACCTCCAACGGCTGCCTGGGGTGTCGGCCGAAGAGGATGGCAGTCACCAGGATGATCATGGCCGTCGCGAAGACCGCCAAAAATAACTCCGCCGGTATGGTCATTTTGTTCCAGATACTGGACAATATGGTGATGCGAGAAGCAGACAGTGCTGTCTCGAGTGTGGTTCCAGCGCAAGGCGCAGAACAGGAATCCCTGAAGTCTTCCGCTATCGATGTCCTCCAAGGACAGAAAATTCGCGACATTATGGACGATATGAAAAGAGGCAAGAGCGAGTGGGACCCAGACGATGGAATGGAGCTTGGAGGATTGAAAAGCCTAGCGCGGGACTTTGCTTTCAGGTTGCTATATTTATCCTCATGGGCGAGTTCGGACCGCGACCCAACGACCGGAACACGGCTTATAATGCTGCTCTCTTTGTTGTCTCCCATCCCAGGATTTTAAGTATAAAACCAGGAGGATGGTGCGAGAGGCTTTCGAAGAGGCCTTCGCCGTTTCGGAGAAGCAACGGAAGACCTTGGACAGGTGGCCGACTAGGGACTCCACTTCAATGTTGCAGGAGGAGGATGTTACTACGGAGGAAGAGGAAGTGGACTTCGACTTTGATTCGGATTGGTCCTGAGCTAAAGGGATGGCGGCCGGCCACGTGCTGAAACTAGGAAATCGCAATATCCTCCGAGTCGACTTCTCCGTGGCGTTATTTTGTAAATAAGCAGATGCCTTGCCATCGTCGTGGATTGTCGAGGGTGACACCAGGACTCTGTGCAACATCGGAACGACTTTTGCAGATACTTGCCTGCAGGTATCTTGTGTAAGTCCAGTGTATTGCCTGGCTGTGGTAATTTGGCTTGGGGATGATGGGTACGAAGGTCGGTAGGGATCCGCAGAATTCGTTGTTTAGATGTGGAGATGTCAGAGACATAAATAGGGTTACCTTCAAAACCCGGGCAAAACAGTCCGCATCTTCGCGTCCTCATCTTTCTCGCTTCTTCTTCTCCTTTTCTCCTCCGTCCTTCTCGTTGGTTGGTTGCTTAATGATACCACCTACCCTTCATTGGTCCGACCCTAGCCAAGGCCTGCCTGTGTACTGGCTTAGGCAGCGGCAGCAGCCATCCCCCCTCCAACCAGCCTTTTGTGGTGTGAAAAAAATCAGATCCACGTGGCAATCGCCTGCGTATTACGGGCCATTTGATTGGGGGAGGGTATAAAGGCTGCAGCTGGGCCCGCGCTATGCTGGCGTAGGGGTGTTGGACACAAGTTCCAGATGTAATTAGTGACCGCGGGAGGCGTCGGGATGGATTTCGGGCCTGCATTCTGGAGCTGTTTCCGAAGAGTTTTCTTGTACCACAGATTGACAATGTCAGCCAATTCTAGGACTTGAAAGCGGCTAATGCCCATTGTAGCTCTGGAAATATTGCTAAGTCAAGGCGGGCAAGCTCGGCCGGCGCCCCTTCGACGGTGCTAAGTGGCACCCCAAGGCTGACCGGGTCTTCACGATGTCTGGCGCCTACACGTCGCAGGATTACACCTACGGACTGCGACGGTGCAGACTTTGCAGTCGTTGCCCTTGATCAACTTGATCAGGGCAGTTTTGGTGCACAAACGGTGCGTTGAGCGATTTCCACGGGAAAGGTCTGTAGACAGCGAGCAACTTGCTCATCTGCAGGGAAAACGATGTCTCGATAGCCTCACGTAGGTCTATCTCGAGGTAGAGGTCTCATAACCTGTGGAAGGCTACTCGCGCCGGAACTGATTGGTGGTTCTATCTTGGACCACCGCCTGCCGACTCTGCAGGCAGCGGCCCGAGGGCTAAACTACAAAGTGTGTGCCGCACAGACCATGGTCACACGTGACACCTTTTGATTTAGTATAGATATGGCACCGGGCTCCATTCCCCCTTTCAACCAGGACTGCCACGCGGAATGCCATGCGTTCCAACCGACTACTGGGACGCGAGGAAGCTGGAGCACTCGAAATCATCGCCACGTGGCAGAACACGCCGGGCGGGCGGGCGGCGGCCTTCTTCTGCGCGTCCTCTGGATGCTCGCGCAGGTCAGCGTCAACATCAGCGCCAACGCCGTATCGTTTGCCAACGACGTCACAACGCTGCTGCCGCGGTGGCTCAACATTCGACGCGGGACGCTGCTGGTGTCCATCGTCGGTGGGTGGGCGCTTTGCCGCTGGATCATTGTCGCGTCCGGCCGTTCGTTTCTGCTGTTCATGCAAGTCAACCCATTCTCGGAAAGAAACAAGGATAGGGGGTGGCAAGTCCCGAAAATGGGTAAACAGGCCAACACTAACGTCACTGGCAAACCAGGTCCGCATACGCCATCTTCATGGCCCCGATTGTCGGCATCCTCTTCACCGATTACTAGCTCGTCAAACACCGGCGGTACGACGTGCCGGCGCTTTACGACCCCCGTGGCATCTACCGTTACGGGCGTTACGGAACCAACCGGCACGTGGCGCTCGCGACGTTTCCCGTCGTCATCCCGCTGATGCCGGGGCTCGCGAACAAAGTCCGCCCGGACGCCGTGCCCATCGCGCAGGGGCTGCCCAACCTCTTTTCGTTCAACTGACTGTACGGGCTTTTCCTGTCCGTGTTCCTGTATTACGGCGCGAACCTGCTTTCCCGCACAGAGAAACGTTGATCGCGCGCGTCGTTATCGGGTTTGAAGGCACTGCGACAGCACAAGATGATGTGGATACAAGCTCTGATTTGAAAGCCGCCATCATGGTACCGTAGTAGGATTTTATAAAGCGACATAAAATCTAACAGCGCCTTCACTGAAAACCGTGTGTGCGCGTTCAGTCAGGAGAAGGCAGGACGCCCAGTATCAAGGTGAGCACCCCTCCTCTCCACAGAACCCGTTCGAAGAAGCCTAGATAAAGCAGCTACCTGAAATAGCCGTCATATCCCTTCGGCTGGGATAACTTAGTTAGAAAGAAGGTGCTGGTGAGCCGCAATGATATTGTCGGCCAGCTCCTTGGGCTGGCTAAGGAAAGGCGAGTGGCCGGCGTTCATGGTCGCCATAAAGGAGCCAGCGGGGAACTGGGACGAAAGAGAATTTTGGACAGAGATGTCGATGGCCTGATCCAGTTCCGTGTGGATATAGGCTACATTAAAATTATCTTCGGTCCAAGGGGCGTAGCGCGAAGCGTCTTGGACAATTTTAAAAGGCTCCGGACGGAGTGCGGCGACGCATTTAGCGACTAGCTCTTGATCCTCAACGTCGTTGTAAAATATTTGCTCTGGGGTGGAAGGGAAGTAAAACCTCCCGTCATCCTATAGCGGATAAGATGGGAAAAGAAATTGGGTTAGCTAAGGTTTTATAGGGCGAACGATTAGGATTGTATCAAAAGCCCGCAATACCGTTACTTCCAACCACGGAGGAAGCGTGCCGTTAAAAACACCCAGGGCGCTTTGGCCGACCGAAAGCGCCATGGCGGTCAGAAAGACATGGGTGATAATGCCGCCCGGTTTGCCGGCAGCCGCGCGCTGTTGGACGCTAAGACCCTCGACCACGTTGGAGGAGACGGCGCCGCCGTACGAATGCACAACCAGCACGACCTTTTGGCCAGCGTCGACGAGCGTCTAGAGGTCCGCGCGCACCACGGCCGCGTCCGCGTACAGGCCCACGTCTGGGTCCGCGGTCCTGACGCTGGGTAAGGTCGAGGCCGAGGTGTTGTTAAAGCCCCTGGACGCGAGCTCGGCCCGGATCAAATCAAAGGCCCACGGGCCGTGGAACGCGCCCGGGACGAAGTGCACGGTCACCGGCTGCGTCATCTCCGTCGGGGGGCTGGGAATGACCAGGCCAGTAGCGACGGAGGCCAGCAAGGGGAGTGTATGGGAACGCATCATGGGAAACACGAGGGACGCGTGGCCGACCGAGGGAGACGATTATACGTAGAAGCACGGCAACATGTTGTAACCCGCTGGGACGGTGATGTAAAGAAGGATAGGGGACAAGGTCGCACGTCGAAGGCGTCGTCACAGTGCTAGGGGCTCCCTCTTAAATGGCTACATGCACGGGATTTATAGCCGACCAGCCCACGTTAGCGATCCTTCGCGCACGCAGCGGAGGGCTTAACATGCGCTAATTACAAATCTTTGATATTTGTCAGCGCATCTTATTAGTGAAGCCGTCTGTGATCTTTTGCGGCAACCATCGCCGGCATTGGCGGGACCCCGCAAAATGTAACGATCCAAAGGGACGACGAAGACGTCGTCCTGCGGGACCCCGTTGCGGCAAAATGTAATTATTTCGATGATTCCAAAAAACCAACGACCAGACCAAGATCTTGTTCAATATGTTTCCTTCCGCGAATAGTTATACATATTCCTTTTTGCCCTGCTATCAACCGCAGAAAATTGCAAAATTCCCGTCAAATTCTGGTAAGCCACGCCATCCCGACGAGAAAGCAAATTAGTCCAAGATGCAGCTCAATCTGCCTAACATCATCGTCTTGTTGCTTAATTAATCGACATTGAATCCTTTGGCCCTAAACCCGAAGATCCTTTTTCAATCCTGACTCCTTAATTCCACCGTTTCGCCCTTCAAGCCAAAGATAACCCCTTTGTTCTTAAAGCCTACGAGTGGTAAGTTGCTCTTCAAAAGGAGGCTGCTGCAAATCACGCCCACGCTACTAAAAGCCATGGCCAAACTTGCCCATACGGGGTTAAGCCGGACGTGCTGGCCATTGCTCGTTATTGGGTAAAAAACCCTTGCAGCGATAAAAAGCGCTTAAAAGTTATATATTAAAGCCTAGCCAAAGTTAAATTTAACACGCCAAAATACCGCGCGGTTAAAATTGGTTAACGTTAGCAGCGCTGTTAAATTCGATTTAATAAGCACAAATTCGGTAGCAAAAATAGCAATATTGGAGCCAAAGCCAATTGCAATGCTAACGTTTGCAACAATTAAAATTAGCGAATCGTTAACGCCATTTTTTACCATTGCAACAATTGCTTTTTGCTTAGCATTTTCCTGGCAAATCCAAAAAGTAACCGCGCGCTAAATTTGGTTTGGCTTTTTTGCAAATATTTAACCTTATTTACCTTTTGTTTCGGTAACACGCCGGCAATAATACGCTTTGGAAAAATGCCAATTGCAGCGTTAACTGCTTGGATGGTCGTAAGGTTATTTCCGGAATAATCC